CCTGGGGAACCAATCCCAACCTTCTGAGGAGTGTTGCAAAGGTTCTTGTCCTGTTTTTATCAGAGCCAGTGTGAATAAAAGGAGGCTTGTGGTTTGAGACATTTATAAATCTGGCTCCAAAAGCACAAGGTAGAAGCAAGAGCCCACTGTGGCTTCTGTCCTCCGTGGCGCTGCAGAGCTGCGAGCCAGTGGCGTGGGTTGTCCTTTAAATTCCAGCTCAGCTCACAGTTAATGGACTTGGCTGCCTGATTAAAAATATTTTCAGGTTGAGCTCATAAACATATCAGAATAGACCTGAATTTAATTCCAGTTCATAATGAATGTTGATTTGGAGGAAATGCCTTAAAAATGTACTGATGCCCATGTTGTGGTTTGTAAGGACACAAAGCAGCTCTGTGAGACCGAAGCGTATTTCAGTTCAATAATAAGGCTTTCTTAGAAAGAATGACTCATAGTCACTCGGAGTTATGGTTGCACAGAAACAACTGTGAGCTGCCAACAAGGAACGCATGGCCCAGAAGGTCTTGCCTTTGCCTCCAGCCTGGGAGAGCAATCTGGGTGTGAAGGAATGCCACTGGGGGGCAGGGGGGGATGTGAGAAGCCTGGGCCCAGGCAGGACTGGAGTGAATTCCAGTGAACGGCTGACAGCCATCCAGCACAGAGGGCTGGAACATGTTTACTAGGTGTCTGGAGTGCGCCTCTGTGATCCTGGGCCTCACCTAATCCGGATAATCCCCGGCTGCCGGCCTCACACAGGATTGTTGATGAGAACGCAGATCCCAGCATTGCAATTCAGGATTTTGTTTGTGCTGGAAGCATTTTGTAAATTTTTTCTTTAGGGTTTAGTTGGGTAATGGTTTTCCCTGGCTGCCCAGTATTTCAGAGCATTCCTTTTATCTCAAAGTGAGTATGTGGAGCATTGTAGGCTATAGTTTTATAAAATGGAATTAAGTGTAGATTTTTTTTTTTTTTTCCCATCATAAAATCTGTAATCCCAACACCCTAAACTAACTGTGTTAACACTGTTTGGGTAGATACTCTGCCTGGCGCTGTTCTGTGCAGGCAGGAGTTCTTCGGCAGAAATGGGTTCATAGTATACGTACTACTGTGAAACAGGCTTTTTAAATTTAGTGTATTACATTTTATTTCAAAATATAATATGCATACAGAGAAGTACACATAATTACATATGCAATGAGCACACAGATTAGGAATCAGAATAGTAACTGCCCCCAGAACCCCCCCACAGCTGCCCCCCCAGTAGCCCCCACCCCCTCAAGGCTATTATCCTGATGACTTCTAACAGCACAGGATGCTTCTGCATGTTTTTTCTTTCTATAAATACAATTATGCAATATATACTCCTGTGCTTGGTTTCTTTGCTCAGCATCGTGTTTGTGGGATTCATCTATATTGCTGCATTTGGCTGTGGACTGTTTTGTTTTCGTTGCAGTGTAATATTCCATTGTGTTACCAGACCACACTTTACTCATTCTACTGTTGATGCCTCATTTGGGTAGTTTCTGGCTTTTGGCTATTAAATAATGCTGGCACTTTTTTCTCCTTCATAAGAGAAGCCAAAACTGGAGTGGGTCAGAGGAGTGCTGGTCCATGCTACTGCAAGTAATTTGCTACTAACTGTAAAGTACCATCAACCCTTGATGTAAGGTAGATACAGACATAGATAAGTCTATATATTAAACAGATCCAGGGGTAATCCTCTGTGTGCCTGGCCTTTTTCCCCTAAGGATGCTGCTCCCCTCATTCCCCTTACCCAGGGTGCCAGTGGAATATTTCTTGCCCTGCAAACCTATGTTCCGGATGTGGGTGTGGTCTTCTTTCTTCCTTCCCTTCTGGTAAAAACCCTGCTCTGCAGAGCTCATGTAATCCTCTCTTCTGCTTGTCATTTAATGACCTGATTACTACCCCTTATTAAGAAGAATCTGATACCTGGCTTCCTCATTCTCTGCCCTTCTGTCCTCCAGAATGACCTCACCTGCTATGTGACGTACCCACCTGTGTTGGGAGTCCCCAGTATAATCATACTTATGGTTATAATATATGACATTGGCCGGGCGCCGTGGCTCACACCTGTAATCCTAGCACTCTGGGAGGCTGAGGCGGTGGATCGCTCAAGGTCAGGAGTTCAAAACCAGCCTGAGCAAAGGCGAGACCCCGTCTCTACTATAAATAGAAACAAATTAACTGGCCAACTAAAAATACATAGAAAAAATTAGCCGGGCATGGTGGCACATGCCTTTAGTCCCAGCTACTTGGGAGGCTGAGGCAGGAGGATCGCTTGAGCCCAGGAGTGTGAGGTTGCTGTGAGCTAGGCTGATGTCACGGCACTCACTCTAGCCTGGGCAACAGAGTAAGACTCTGTCTCAAAAAAAAAAAAAAAAAAATATATATATATATACACACACACACATATAAAATACGTGACATTGACAGGACACAAAGCAAAATCAGCAAAGGGAAAAGACACACGGGTGAAGTCTGAAGGGAACCAGGTTCAGACTTTCAATGGGGACTGGAGCATCACAGGATGTGTTTGACTCCCCTAGCAACGAGTGTTAACGGCACGTGTGCGTGTTGTCTATCAGGGAAGCTCAAGACTCGGTGCCTAGGGCTCTTATTGGGAGCTGATTATGTAGACACCTTCTGCAGGGCACGTGCCAAAATTCTAAACCACAAGAATAAAGCACAAGTAAACCACATTGTACAAATGGTTTGGGTACAGTGAGCCACTCGTACGGGCCCTGGAAATAGCGGGAACACTCCTGAAATCTAAGTTGCCAAATGTCAGGCAAAAGCCGAACCTGTCAGCAGGCCTATAAAGGGTAGCAGTCAAACCTGCGGTGTCACGTCTTCTGCATGCTGTCTCGCGCCCTGGTTTCTGTTCCTCGTCCAGTGACCTTTTCCTCTCATCTCCCACCTGACGCTGTGGACACACCCGGACCTTGTCCGTCAACCTCAACTGCAACTCCTGAATCACAGAGTTGGGTGCCCCACACTCGATCTTCCAGCTGGCTTGCTCAGCAGTGGCCCCACCCGCCCCCTTAGTGACTGCCAGTGTGGACCTGAGTTTCCCAGAAACCTGGAAATCGTATTGGACACCCTCCATTTCCTTCATTTCTGTGTTACCTCTTCTGCACACTGTCTCACACCCTCGTTTCTGTTACTTGTCCAGGTGTTTTTTTTGTTGGTTTGTTTGTTTTTTGAGACAGAGTCTCACTCTGTTGCCCAGGCTAGAGTGCTGTGGGGTCAGCCTAGCCCTGGGCTCAAGTGATCCTCCTGCCTCAGCCTCCTGAGTAGCTGGGACTACAAGCATGCGCCACCATGCCCGGCTATTTTATATATATATATATATATTGTTTTTTAGTTGGCCAATTAATTTCTTTCTATTTTTAGTAGAGACGGGGTCTCGCTCTTGCTCAGGCTGGTTTCGAACTCCTGACATTGAGCGATCCTCCCGCCTCGGCCTCCCAGAGTGCTAGGATTACAGGCGTGAGCCACCGCGCCTGGCCTCATTTCCTTCATTTCTGTACTAGCTTCACATCCTTTGCAAAGTTATATGTATTCTACTTCCTAAATATAATACCTCTTTTTTTATTTAAAAAAAATTACTTGCTTAAGAGCTATGTGTGTTTCCATTTGACTCCCACAAAAGGCCTTGTAATGAAAGCAGCAGACACGCTAACAGTTTTATTCCTTTCTACCCCTACTCTTCTGGTTTTTACTTTTACTGTTTACTTCTATTCACTGATTTTTCTATGGAAAAGGAGAAAGCATTTATTCAACAAATATTTATTGAGCTCCTACTGTGGAACATGTATGGTGGCTTTATTTTTGGGGGGCGGGGGATAAGAATTGGGGTCTCACTGTGTTGCCCAGGCTGGCCTCCCAAGTAGCTGGGACTACAGACACACACCACCGTGCCTGCCTGGAGCAGGCTTCAGTTCTTTTTTCTTTTCTTTCTGAAACACCGGAAAAGTTTAATAAAAAGTGGGAGGAGTGGGGTGGGGGGAGAGAGGCGGTGGTGGTAGTGGTATTTTGCTATTTAAAGGTAGAAAAATGCAAGGAAGTAAAGCTTTTCTCCCTGTTTGTTCTTTGGCAATCCCATTAGGCGTGCAGGAGACAGTCACATTTTACAACTGACGAATCTCAGTGATTCTATAAAATGGAGCCCTGCCTGCTGCATGTTTCCAGTGGAAGCTGCTTTATATGTTTAAAGCTGTATTTTATTTTATTTATTTTTTTTTTTGAGACAGAGTCTCGCTTTGTTGCCCAGGCTAGAGTGAGTGCTGTGGCGTCAGCCTAGCTCACAGCAACCTCAAACTCCTGGGCTCGAGTGATCCTTCTGCCTCAGCCTCCCGGGTAGCTGGGACTACAGGCATGCGCCACCATGCCCGGCTAATTTTTTTTTATATATATATCAGTTGGCCAATTAATTTCTTTCTATTTATAGTAGAGACGGGGTCTCGCTCTTGCTCAGGCTGGTTTCGAACTCCTGACCTTGAGCAATCCGCCCGCCTCGGCCTCCCAAGAGCTAGGATTACAGGCGTGAGCCACAGCGCCCGGCCTAAAGCTGTATTTTATGTCACATTTAAATGAGGGTTTAACACTCTTAAATATCTACCAAAAGTAGATTACAGTGCATGAAGATCAACATAAAATGAACTTCACTTCTCAGCATCACAGATAACAAATATTTTGAATACAGAAAGTCCAGGGATGGCTATTAGAAGTAAGAAAAGGTACAAAAGAAGTTTGCTTAGAAACACCAAATTTAGCAAAAAAATTGACTTCTCCCCCAAATCCAAACAATTGCGGTGTAGGTAACCACCAGAGCAAATGCTTCCTACGCTCGTCCCTTTAATACGCACGCGCTCCCGCCGCACCGTATGTGCAAGCGTGTGTACAAGAGACGCCCACGCACATCATACACACAAGCACATGCATCCACAGGGACGGACACACAGCTGGGTTTTGGTTGTTCTAGGCACTTTGTACCCACATTCTTAAGTCTGCCACCTTCCCATTGCTTTGGACAAGTTACTTCTTCGGAGGCAGGACGTTTTCTTCAAAGAAGCCCTGGTTGACGACATTCCCCGCTGGGTAGTACCTGGCCACCACGAAGGAGGAGCCGTCACTCGCGGCCGCTTTCCCCACGCCCATCTTCTTTGTGTTCTTCCACACCATGGCCGTGAAGTGTCCGGTCCCCGAGGTGAAGCCGGGCTGCTGGAAGTTGTAGTTCTTGATCTCGCCGTACCATCTAGCAGCCACCTCCTTCCCTGTCTGATCGTAGGATGCCCACGCGAGGTTCTCCCCACACCGGCCGCGGCTGGACTGCCGGCTGTGCTCGAGGACCCTCGTGCTGGCCAGGGCCTCGGAATACTGCTGAGCCTCCCGGTTGAGCTGCTTGGACAGCTTCAGTGGGGGCACGCCGTGCTGCCGCCGGTACTCATTGTGGGCCTTCAGGACCTCGTTCTGAAACTGTCTGGAAGCTGACTTGCCCCTGGCCGGCTGCGCGCGCTGCTCGCTCCCCATGGGCATCAGTTCTAATTGCAGAGGAAGCGGCAGTGAACAAGACAAACCCAGTGCTCATTGGGGCTTATATTTTGCTGGGAGGAGACTGAATAAGTCAAATATGCCGTATGTTAAAAAAGACACTATAAGGCCGGGCGCGGTGGCTCACACCTGTAATCCTAGCACTCTGGGAGGCCAAGGCAGGAAGGTCGCTTGAGGTCAGGAGTTTGAAACCAGCCTGAGCAAGAGCGAGACCCCGTCTCTACTATAAATAGAAAGAAAGTAATTGGCCAACTAATATATATATAGAAAAAATTAGCCGGGCATGGTGGCGCGTGCCTGTAGTCCCAGCTACTCGGGAGGCTGAGGCAGGAGGATCGCTTGAGCCCAGGAGTTTGAGGTTGCTGTGAGCTAGGCTAATGCCATGGCACTCACTCTAGCCTGGCAACAAAGAGACTCTGTCTCAAAAAAAAAAAAAAAAAAAAACAAATTAAAAAAAACGATTAATTTCTTTCTATTTATAGTAGAGACGGGGTCTGGCTCTTGCTCAGGCTGGTTTCGAACTCGTGACCTCGAGCAATCCGCTTGCCTCCGCCTCCCAGAGTGCTAGGATTACTGGCGTGAGCCACTGTGCCCAGCCCCCGTCTCTACTATAAATAGAAAGAAATTAATTGGCCAACTAATATATATAGAAAAAAAAGCCGGGCATGGTGGCGCATGCCTGTAGTCCCAGCACTCGGAGGCTGAGGCAGGAGGATCGCTTGAGCCCAGGAGTTTGAGGTTGCTGTGAGCTAGGCTGATGCCATGGCACTCACTCTAGCCTGGGCAACAAAGCGAGACTCAGTCTCAAAAAAAAAAAAAAGATTCTCACTACCCCATGCGTTTCTCTTTGAGTGAGATTGAATGTTTTTTCATGTATAAGTTATTAGTATTAATACTTCCTTTTTTTTTTTGGTTTTTTTGAGACAGAGTCTCACTTTGTTCGCAGGCTAGAGTGAGTGCCGTGGGCTCAGCTACCGCCACAGCAACCTCAAACTCCTGGCTTGAGTGATCCTTCTGCCCAGCTCCGAGTAGCTGGGACTACAGGCATTGCCCACCACAGCCCAGCTAATTTTTTATATATACAGTTGGCCAATAATTTCTTTTATTTATAGTAGAGACGGCTCGGCTCTGCTCAGGCTGGTTGAACTCCTGACCTTGAGGCAACGTCGCCCGCCTCGCCTCCCAAGACTAGGATACAGGCGTGACCACAGGCGCCGCCTGTTTTTTTTTTGAGATGGGGTCTGTGTCACCCAGGCTGGAGTGTAGTAGCACCATCATAGCTCACTCCTGGGCTCAAGCGGTCGAACCTCTCACCTGAGCCTCCCAAGTAGCTGGGATTACAGGTGTATGCCACCATGCCCAGCAAATTTTTTTTTATTTTTTGTAGAGATGGGGTCTTGCTCTTGCTCAGGCTGGTCTCGAACTCCTGACATGAAGCAAGCCTCCCACCTCAGCCTCCCAGCATGTTAGGATTATAGGCATGAGCCACTGCACCAGGCCCAGATAATTTATTTAATGCCATCCTCCCATTCTTTTACTAGAACTCCTTCTTACTCAGGTATAAGAGGTTGATTCAGTCCTCTGTGTCTCTTAGGTTTTTTTTCCTGTATTTTCTTCCTTATCTTATTATTTATCTTGATCTCTTCCCTGCAGTACACTTTATTTTTTTTGAGACAGAGTCTCTCTTTGTTACCCAGGCTAGAGTGAGTGCCGTGGCGTCAGCCTAGCTCACAGCAACCTCAGACTCCTGGGCTCAAGCAATCCTCCTGCCTCAGCCTCCCAAGTAGCTGGGACACACAGGCAGCCGCCACCATGCCGGCTAATTTTTTCTATATATATTTTTAGTTGGCCAATTAATTTCTTTCTGTTTTTTTTTTTTAGTAGAGACGGGGTCTCACTCTTGCTCAGGCTGGTTTTGAACTCCTGACCTTGAGCGATCCTCCCGCCTCGTCCTCCCAGAGTGCTAGGATTACAGGCGTGAGCCACCGCCCGGGCCTCTTTCCTGCAGTACACTTTATTAAAATACCTGAGGATTCTTGGTTGTCTGTCATTAGAAAGAGGCAGAAACGTTGCCCTGGAGCTCTTTGTGTGACCAGGATTTGTCAACTTGCAGTGCTTGCTTCAAGGCGGTGATCTTTATCCTTGCGATCTCTGAATTCCAGGGGCCTTTGTTTGAGGGTACCAGTGGTATCTCCAGATCCCACAGATATCTACAGAGAGGAATCCTCCTTTACCTTGTTTGATTTTCCTAGGAGTATGTTACCTGATTATTTTAAGTCATTCTGACCACAGCAGTGAGAAACAGGATTCTTGTGCAGATCCTAGATTAGTTTTCCTGTCTTCAAGCCTCCTTCTGACCCCTGCTGCCGGTGGCACCTGCCAGCGGCACCTGCCAGCTCCGAGGCTGAAGGCTTTCACAGGTCCAGGCAAGCGGTCCCTCCTGGACATCGGCACCCCCTGATCATGGGCTGCACGGCAGCACCCTGTGCTCTGCCCTCAGTCACCCTACTTCAGAATTCTATTTATAAACGTCATGTTATTCATTTATTGACATGTTAATGCAGTCTTAAAGGAAAAGAAGGTAGATGTTTGCTTGGTTTACCACCTTGAAGCAGAAAATCTGTCTGCCTCTACTCTGGTTCAAAAGCACCTTCAACTCTTGCCCGGACTACTTCGATAACCTCCTCACTGGTCATTCTCCATCCATACCGCATTTTTCCACTTTATTTTCTATGCAGCAGCCAACATGAACTTCTGGGAACACAGATCTGATTGTCAAATTATATCACATGTCTTAGAGACTGCTTCTTTTAATAATATGGAGGCCTCAATAAACTGTGCACTCCTGGAAATCGTATCACTGTAATTGTGGTCTGATATAAATGTGATCACAGGCTGGGCTCATGCCTGTACAGGCTCATGCCTGTAATCCTAGCACTCTGGGAGGCCGAGGTGGGTGGATCGCTCAAGCTCAGGAGTTCAAAACCAACCTGAGCAAGATCGAGACCTCCGTCTCTACTAAAAATAGAAAGAAATTAATTGGCCAACTGAAATATATATATAAAAAATTAGCCAGCCATGGTGGTGCATGCCTGTAGTCCCAGCTACTCGGGAGGCTGAGGGAGGAGGATCGCCTGAGCCCAGGAGTTTGAGGTTGCTGTGAGCTAGGCTGATGCCACAGCACTGTAGCCCAGGCAACAGAGTGAGACTCTGTCTCAAAAAAAATAAATAAATGTGATCACAGAGTCAAACAGACCCATGCCACAGAAGCCAGCCCGAGCAAAGACTTCTCTCCCCAAGGTCTCGGTACTTGTATAGGCCTCTGAGTCACCCATTTAAAAATAGGTCACGGGGCTGTAAGCTAGCAGCAGGCTCTACACCTCTGCTCTGTGGCGAGCCAGTGGTCAGCAGCAGGGAGTCCCAATGTCCAGCACAGCTACTGCTCCTTCTAACGGCCTTCTTGACAGACCAAGCAAGCCCAGGCTCGCCCACACTATAACCTCTTCCTGAATGTGTCTCTGAATCAGAGGCCTTCCAACTGTCAACAGGCTTCCTCTGCAGCTTTCATCAACCCAGGTCACAACTTGTACTTAAAACACACCTAGCATCTGGCCCAGGCTGGTCTTCAACTCCTGGCCTCAAGTGATCCTCACACCTCGGTCTCCCACAGTGCTAGGATCACAGAGATGTGAGTCACCACTGCACCTGGCCCCAGCTGCTACTTTGTTTAAATCTGGAAACCCTGCAGTCTTCAGACCTCCACTGAGCCGAGATAGGCCACTGTCCCAGTGTCTCTCTCTAGCACAGCCGGAAGGAGGTGCTTTTTGTCTCAATTTGAACTTGCCCTGTTCCCACCTAACTTAAGGAGGCAGGGACATTTAGAACCAAATATTAGTGAGCACAAGTATAATGTCTGTTACAGTCACCTACCAGAAAAAGACAGCTTGCTACAGATAACCTGGCAATGATGGGCCCATAGGGACTGTTGGTGGGAAGGTTGACAATAACTGAACAATTGCTAACATCGGCCTCAGGGGCCTCCTGGACCAGGCTAACATCCTTCGCATTTGATCCCCACCTCAGTGTCCCATGTACAAACTGGGTGTGTATGGTTCTTTTAGCCTTTCAGAAAGAAAGGTAAAAACTCTCAGCAAGGCCAGGCGCTGTGGCTCACACTGTAATCCTAGCTCTTGGGAGGCCGAGGCGGGCGGATTGCTCAAGGTCAGGAGTTCAAAACCAGCCTGAGCAAGAGCGAGACCCCGTCTCTACTATAAATAGAAAGAAATTAATTGGCCAACTGATATATATATATATAAAAAATTAGCCGGGCATGGTGGCGCATGCCTGTAGTCCCAGCTACTCGGGAGGCTGAGGCAGGAGGATCGCTTGAGCCCAGGAGTTTGAGGTTGCTGTGAGCTAGGCTGATGCCATGGCACTCACTCTAGCCTGGGCAACAAAGTGAGACTCTGTCTCAAAAAAAAAAAAAAAAGAGAAAGGAAAATGAAAAGTTAAAACATTACCATTACAGCATCTGGCCCAGGCTGGTCTTCAACTCCTGGCCTCAAGTGATCCTCACACCTCGGTCTCCCACAGTGCTAGGATCACAGAGATGTGAGTCACCACTGCACCTGGCCCCAGCTGCTACTTTGTTTAAATCTGGAAACCCTGCAGTCTTCAGACCTCCACTGAGCCGAGATAGGCCACTGTCCCAGTGTCTCTCTCTAGCACAGCCGGAAGGAGGTGCTTTTTGTCTCAATTTGAACTTGCCCTGTTCCCACCTAACTTAAGGAGGCAGGGACATTTAGAACCAAATATTAGTGAGCACAAGTATAATGTCTGTTACAGTCACCTACCAGAAAAAGACAGCTTGCTACAGATAACCTGGCAATGATGGGCCCATAGGGACTGTTGGTGGGAAGGTTGACAATAACTGAACAATTGCTAACATCGGCCTCAGGGGCCTCCTGGACCAGGCTAACATCCTTCGCATTTGATCCCCACCTCAGTGTCCCATGTACAAACTGGGTGTGTATGGTTCTTTTAGCCTTTCAGAAAGAAAGGTAAAAACTCTCAGCAAGGCCAGGCGCTGTGGCTCACACTGTAATCCTAGCACTCTGGGAGGCCAAGGTGGGCAGATTGTTCAAGGTCAGGAGTTCAAAACCAGCCTGAGCAAGAGCAAGACTCCTGTCTCTACTAAAAAAATAGAAATTAATTGGCCAACTAAAAATATATAGAAAAAATTAGCCGGGCATGGTGGCGCATGCCTATAGTCCCAGCTACTTGGGAGGCTGCTGAGGCAGAAGGATTACTTGAGCCCAGAAGTTTGAGGTTGCTATGAGCTAGGCTGATGCCATGGCACTCTAGCCCGGGCAACATAGTGAGACTCTGTCTCAAAAAAAAAAAAAAAAGAGAAAGGAAAATGAAAAGTTAAAACATTACCATTACAATAATACCCCACTAAAAACCCAAATCCCTAGCAATCTAATGGAAGATGTACAGACCTCAACGCTGAAAAATATAAAATATCGCTGAGAAAAGAGCATATCTTTAAGACCTTGGCGTGGGCACAGAGGATGCAAAAGGTGGTAACTTCATAAAAGAAAGGAGAAAATATTGATAGACTGCACTTCATTAAAACTAATAATTTGTTTATCAAAAGACATCAAGATAGTAAAAGTGGAGGCCACAGATTGGGCAAAGATAATTACCATATCTAGTATTAGCCATCAAAGGAAGGTTTTGTATCTAGAATACACAAAGAACGGTACCTGGTTGATACTGCCAGGAAGGAAAAACAAAATGAAAAAAGGACCAATGACTCAGTTTTTTAAATCTTGAGTAGACAATAAGTGAGGACATTCAGATACCTTAACAAGCATGTAAAAGGTTCTTGATACTTTTTGTCATTAGAGAAATGCAAATTTAAAAAACCACAGTGGGATATCACTCCACCCCCACAAAAATGACTGAAACTGGAAAGACCATGAGGTCAAGTGTTGGTGAGGAAGTGGAAGAACTGGAACTTCTACCTTTTAATGGTGGGAGTGTAAATGGGTACAAGCAGTTGGGAAAACTAATTGGCCAGCTCTACCAAAGCTAAACACACATACGCCCTATAAACCAGCAGTCCCGCTCGTGGGTATATACCGAATAGAATGATTGCCATATGTCCACCAAAAGACATCTACAAAAATGTTTATAGTTGTAAATCATAATGGCCAAAACCTGGAAATAACTCAAATGCCCAACAACGGTAGAATCGATAGTGGTATATTTATCAATGGAATACAATAAAAACAAGTAAAAACTTGCTTTGCACAACATAAATGAATCACAGACATCATGAGGATTCAAAGAAGCCAGACACACAAAGGGCGTATGCCGTAGGATTCCATTCATGTGAAACTCAAAACAGGCAAAACTAATCTTTGGTGAGAGAGATTAAAATAGTTAACCTTTTTAGAGGACCTGTAATCCTAGCACTCTGGGAGGCTTGAGGCAGGTGAATCGCTCCAGGTCGGGACTTCGAAACCTTCCTGAGCAAGAGCGAGACCCCGTCTCTACTAAAAATAGAAAGAAATTAATTGGCCAACTAAAAATATACATAGAAAAAAAATTAGCCGGGCATGGTGGCGCATGCCTGTAGTCCCAGCTACTTGGGAGGCTGAGGCAGAAGGATTGCCTGAGCCCAGGAGTTTGAGGTTGCTGTGAGCTAGGCTGATGCCACGGCACTCACTCTAGCCTGGGCAACAGAGAGAGACTCTGTCTCAAAAAAAAAAAAAAGCCACATTTTTTTAGTTTACAAACTTAGCCTTTCCCAAAATATTTCTGGTCACTTAGCTTAAAAATGTTATTTGGTTCAGCTCGGCTTTGTCCCTACATGGAAGGCACGAGTACTTGGCAGCTGCTTGGGTTAGGGTTAAGGTTGGACACAGCAGTGTCAGGCAGTGTCAGAGGGCTGGGGGTTTGGGCCTTGGCTTGCTCTTTCCCCGTGGAGTGAGCAGGGAGCAGACACTCCTGTCACTGCGCACCACTCACACACTGCTCTCTGGCCTGGCTGGGACACCTGGGTTCCACACAGAGGCAGCCAGCTGTCTGGGGAAGGGGAGTCTGTCGTGTGTGGTCCTGCCATCTGGTACCTGCATCAAACAGGAGCTAGGTGTCCCCAGGCCGCTTGGAAGGGAGTCCAGGCTGTGACCCGTTCCCTAGGTTGCACACATGGCTGGTCACATCGCCACCGGAAACTCAGCCAGTGGCAGCTTTGTTATCTCAGCTTGCTCGCAACTGAAGATTGAACGGAGATGCCAAGACTAGCCTGTGCTAAGAGTAGCACGTGCAAAACAAATCTCCGAGTGGAGCCATGTGGCAGCTTCAGAGTCAGTTAGGAGGAAGCCGCACTGCGTGTAGAAGGAATGAGACTCAACCCTGCAGGTCCTCCTCCCACCGTGCTCAGAGGGGACAGATGAGCTGCAGGGGGACAGTCTGCGAGCTACTCCCGAGCATCAGGACCGCTGCCAAGGACAGCCATTCTGGTGGCCACAGTGCCCTTTTTGTTAGGGCTAATAAACCCCCTCTTGTTTCAGTGACAAGGAGTTGGGGTTATTACATTTTGATAACCAAAAGGACAGTCCAACCACACCCAGCAAAAGGGACAGAGTTCTAATTTCTTCAGGCAAAGAGACCCAAGAAGAATTCTCATGCCTCTTAGCATTGGCTCCTGGTGGGTTTGTGAATCTAAAGGGATGCTCATAAGTTTAATTGCTCAGAACTCCAAAAAGTGTTCAATCCTGAATTCTTTACAAGGCCATGGAATCAACTCTGCAAACTATCCTCTAACGATGCTTGGGAGACACATCTTGCCGGACCAAAGCCCAATGATGAGTGTGGTGGGCACAGCCTCGGGGTGGTCCCTAGTCCTTCCGGCTGGTCACCCTTCACACACACATACACCCACATACCTTTGCTTCACCAAGCTCTTGAGAGCCTTCTGGGAGCCCCACAGTAGCTCCTCCTGCTTGTATCTTAGGTTTTTCCAATGCTACCCCTAAACTCTGTTACTCTGGACCTCATAGACAGAGAAATCAACAGAGTAGTACCAGGGCTCTTGTCCTGGCTGCAGGGGAAGGACTCCTGGGGTCCAGCCCACCCATCGTGCATCTCCCAGGCTCCTGGACAGCTACAGACCCTCAGAACAGTGCAAGGTGACCTGGGATCCTAGAGGTGGGGGTGAGACAAAAGCAGATGACTCTGCCTCACAAGGGCCTCTTGGCTACAGCACAGCTGTTTCCAGCCAATGGGGGGTGGGGTGGAGATGACAACGGGACACTCAGATAGTTACGCACAAGGGAAAGGAGGGGAAGGGGGTGGCTTCTTCCTCAGGGAAGCAATCTGGAGATTGAGGGAGTAGATTCCCCTTCTGTACATAATCCACACTGCCCTCAGCCCCGTTCCTGCCTGGGCTATGGCCCCTAAGCCACTGGCCTGGCCCCAGCCTCTCCATACCCAGCAGATGCAACCAGTTGCAAATAGACCCAGGAGTGTCTGAGCAGCCCTCTCCAGACCGGCTCCCACGTCCTGTGGACTCAGGAACGCAGCTGCCCTTCCCCGGGGGGTCACAGTGCGTCTTGCAGCCTTCACCTCCCGCCCAAAGCAGACCAATAAGGTCAAGTAGCAAGGTGACTCTGTCCAGGCTCAACCCCATCTCGGAGAACTCTGGGCTGTGGAAGCCCCTTCCCTGAAGGCTCTTCTTTCACACATTCCACTGAAACTAACACGTAGAAGCCCAGGCTGGAAGCCCCGGCTTTTGCTGCCGTGAGAGCGCACGAGCCAACGGTAATAACTCTGGCTGCTTAAGAAAATCAGTTCTGCAATCTCTTGGGAGCCCCTCTAAGGGGTGGATGTTCTGATCCTGCAGCTTTGCTGACGTCAGGAACGCGAAGCCGTCAGAAAAGCCAGCCACGGCAAATCTGCTTTTCTGCTCGCCAAGGTCAAGGTGCATCGCTGTGGCACAGCTCGCTGGTGCAGGACTTGTTCACTCGGGCTCTTCAGTCACTGAGCTGCTCCCGAAGCTTCCTTTTCTTTATCCTTATTCGTCACAGGCAGCAACCTTGGAGGCTTCCACCCCTTCCACGGGATCTGCCTCTAAGCAGATACGCAGGGGCCCAGTGGATTCAGGGAGAGACCCTGTTCCCTGGCCTTGACCTTCGTGGCCTCTTAAATAGCAAATCGAGGTGTGGTGGCCTCTGAGGCACCGTCCCATCCCTGTGTGCACGCTGAGGCTCCAATTCACAGACCTCTCTGCAGAGCTGGGAGATTGAAGCTTCTGTCCCTGAAGATGAGACTCCGCCGGGCCTGGCCCCCATCTCTAGCCCTGCAGGCTCCATCGATTTTTCTTAGCACTATGATGCAAAGAGCTTAGAATAAAGAGGTAACATGAAGTGACAAATGTCTCAAACCTACGTGATGGGTACATGGGTGCTTTTTCCCTCCTTCTCCATATATGTATGTGTTTGATGAATGAAAAGAAACATTAATAATTTGCACCTATGGGGCTTGAGTGTAATACCTGCAGATGGACTCAAAACAAGACTTGATATGTCCACAATACAAAATGTTCTCAGGTAAGCCTGAGAGATGCAACACAGTCTGGTGCCCAGAATGCCACGGAGGCTACCAAAGGGACCCCAAGTTTGATAATGTTCACACTGAGCTCAGGACGGTGTGGATGGCTGAGCGGGTCTCCAGGATCTCCCGGCCCTGGCCTGAAGCAAACAGAAGGGGCCCAAATGGTGTGGGCACAAGCAGTGCCCAGTGTATTACTCTGGGACCATGAGGTTTGGAGTGAAGTGAACAGCACTGGTTAGGTAGGTGGGTTGGAGGCTGTCACATGGGAAAAAGGCCACATCGAAGTCCCATCTGGTATTTACCAGGTGCCTCCGGGTGTGGTCACTGGAGGATTCTGTGGCCTTTAGCAAGAGCTAAGAGGGCCTCTGAGTAAGAGATGGGCTTGTTCTGAGACTGTAGGAGCCACAGTTGGCCCACTCAAAAGCCTGTCACCATTATCGCTGGCCGCCTTTCCAGCCTACATAGGCAAGATGACACCAGCCCACCCAGGGACACTTCCTCCAAGCCAGCTGTCGTCCTCTACTTCGCATCCTTTCTTCTATAGCTTGGGATCCACAGCCGATGGTATCAGTGACACTCTTGCCCCTCTCTCTCTTATTCTATCCTGATGAGTCCCTTTTTTTTTTGAGACAGAATCTTGTTCCGTTGCCAAGGTTAGAGTGCAGTGGTATCATCATAGCTCTCTGCAGCCTCAAACTCCTGGGCTCGTGCAATCCTGAGTAGCTGGGACTACAGGTGCATGCCACCACACCCAGCTAGTTTTAGTTTTTTGTTTTTTTTTTAGAGATGGGATCTTGCTATGTTGTCCAGGCTGGTCTCAAACTCCTGACCTCAAGGGGTCCTCCCACCTTGGTGTGAGCCCAAGGTGTGGGCCACTGTGCCCTGCCCCACCCCATGAATCTTTGCTCCACCTTCTTCACTTTTACCTAGAAGCTACAGGGGCAAGTCACTTAATAGTAGAGAGGGGTCTGCTCTGATTTGATGGTTGTCAACCTGCAATGAATCCTCAGGACTGCTGGGAAATTCTACCACATTTCTCCTGCCCACTCACCTTTTTGCTTTCAGACTTCTCCCACTCTCCTCATACTTCCATCCCCAAACTCCCTTCACTCTTTGCTGCAGTCAGAGGTAAACCCACCATCAAGCATTTTAGGTCTCATCCCTCCAGCCTCTTCAGAACCTCACACGATGAACCAGATCCTCTCTCTCCTGTATTTTAGTCTCTTTCTTGGGTCTCATTCTGTCACCCAGGCAGGTGTTGAACTCCTGGGCTCCAGTGATTCTCCTGCCTTGGCCTTCCCAAGTGCTGGGATTACAGGTGTGAGCCACCACACCCAACCCACTTTAACATTTCTAAAGGTGGCCTTAAGTATATTCACATTGTTACACAACCATCACCAGAACCTTTCATCTTCCCCAAGTGAAACTGTACCCAATAAACACTAATTATCTATTCTTCCCTTCTTCTAGTCCCTGGCAACTACCATTCTACTTTCTGTCTCTGTGTTTTTGACCACTTTGGGTACTTTCCACTTTCTGTAAGTGTAATCCACAGAACACTTGTCTTTCTGACCAGCTTTTTTTTTTTTTTTCATTTGGCATAAGGTCTTCAAGGCTCATTCATTTGTAGCATGTGTCAGAAATTTCCTTCCTGTTTAAGGCTGAATAATATTCCATTGTATGGACATACAACATTGTGTTTACCCGTTCATCTGCGGGGTGGACATCGGTTGCTTCCACCTTTTGACTATCACGAATAATGCAGCTGTGAACGTGGGTGTATAAACCCACTCTTGCCTGTCCTCCCCAGTCCTTACCCACAATTGCAGCCAGGATAATCCCTTTAAAGCCAGGAGTATGGTCAAATCACCTCTTGCTTAAAATAGTTTTGCAACACTCTCAGGTCGGATCTAACTTCTCACCAGCCTGATTTGTTGAACCCAAGACAGTTGAAAATACCTGCCGTTCCTTCCGCTGCCATTCCTTTCCCTTCCTTCTCCAGTTTTGTTTCCCTTCTCCTCTTGGGGACCTCAGCCCCTCAGCTCCTGCTCTTTTCCTGGGGGAAGGAGTTCCCTGCTCACCCTCCTTCACTAGGCCAGGGGGCTCCCTCCCTCCCTGTTTACCCTTTCCCCTCCTACCACTTGTCACAATGGGCACGGCGGTGTCACGCACTGGTGACAACTGTACTGTGCTTCAACCGCCGGAGGGTAAGCCTGCGAGGGCAGGAGCGCCGGCCGGCAACTGCAGCGCCCGTCAGGGCCTGGCATCCACCGGCGCCCAGTATCTCAGTAAGCAACCTCAATAACGAATCCGTGAGGACGCAGCCAAGTCCTAGTGGAGGCCCCGTGGTCCCGCGGGCTCCGGCCACCTCGCGTGGAGGTCCTGGGTCCCCAGAGGAAGAGGCCTTGGGGCGCCCCAGCCCCGCTTCGGCGAGGGGAGGGCCCACTCAGACCACGGGACCCGCAGCCGCCCGGCGTCCGCCCGGGGCGGGGGCGGGGCCGGCCGCGAGACGTCACTTCCGGTGTACACAGCCGGTCCAGGGCGGTGCGCTGGCGGCCGGGGCGCATCGCAGGTGAGGAGCGGGCGCGGGCGCGGGCGGCCGAGCGGGCGGGGCGGCGGGCGCGGCCGGGTTCGGCGGCGGGCTGGCGCGCGCCGCTCGGCTCGGGACCGCCCGCCGGGTGCGGGCCCCGGCTCCCGCCCCTTGCCCGCCGCTGTGGAGACTGGCCGGGCTCCGCGGGCGCTGGCCGGGCGGACGGAAGCCCGGAGGGGCCTTCTGGCGCGTGCCCGGGACTGGGGGGCGCGGCGGCGGCGGGGGCCCCGCGGACGCCGGGCGAGAGGGGCGGGTCGGCACCGGTGGGGCGCGGGGCGGGGGCGCTCCCTCGGACCGCAGGGGCCCCGGGGTCGCGCCGGCGCCGGGACCCGCTCCCGGAAGCCCGCGGGGGACGGCGGCCTGTGGGCGGTTGGCGGCGGGGTCCGCCGGGGCTGGCGGGGCGGCGGCCCTCACCTTCCCCGCGGAGCCGGGCTGCCGGGGACGCGGTTCCCAGCCCTGCCGAGCCCGCTGGCGCCGTGGGGCCGAGGAGGGTCCGCGGGGACCGGGGAGGGCCGGGCCGCGGGGAAGAACCGGCGCCCATGGGGCGAGCGCAGGGTCAGGTGTGAGTCTCTCTGCTCCGCGCCGCGCGAGGAAGGGAGCGTGCCTGGTTGGCGTGATAAGAATTTGGTTCATACTTTTTACAAAATTTGCCAGATAAAGACTCCGTCTCAGGGGGGGCCCCCTCTTGAAAATAGCCTCCCATCCCCATTACAAAAGCAGTTCTCTCTCCTCTGCTTCTAAAACACTCAAGACAACATAAAAAGTGTAAGCAAGAAAATGACAGTCGTCTGTCAGTTTACAACTTAGTGACAACCGCTGTGAACATTTTGGTGATAATAAATGCAGCTATGTGTTGTCACTTTTATGGACTTTATATAATTTAACCAAGCTCTACTGATGAACGTTTAGATTAGTTCCAGTTTGTCACAAGATAAACAGTTCTACCAAGAGGATTCGTCTGGTTTTTTTTTTTTTTTTTTTTTTTAGGATAAATTTACAAATGGGGTCAAAGATAACATTCATTTTTAAAAATGCATGGTATTTTTTCCCTTTGTTGACATGTTTAGAAAATTTTTCTGTGTCCCAGTGTTACAAAAAAATTCCATCCATGTTTGCTTCTCATCATTTCATAGTTTTTTTTCTTTTTTTGCTTTTAGGTATTTAATCCACTTAAAATTCATTTTTGGTTTAAGATATGAACTATCTTCCAAATGGCTAGTCACTGTTCCAATTTATTGAATAAGCTATAACTTTATCATTTTATCATATCTTAGACCTAAAGTTCTAATTATGTCCTGTAACGGCTACTTAACAAATTTCATATTTGGATTTTGTGTATGTTTAGGTGTTTTCAAGTTTCATGAAAATATCACAGTATTTTCTTTTCACAGTATCTTCACAATAGTCTCTGGTTTTTTTGAAAATCCTTTCCATTTACAAGTCCAGGGAATATTTCATATTTGACATTTTTTCTTTTCATCTTTTAAAGCAAAAAGTTTAGTTTATTGCTGTCTCATTTGCCTTCTTGCTGACAAGATAACAAACTCCATATGAAGAGTTCAGGTTTGTTGTGGCAACTTTTCAGTCTGGCATTTGAGATTCTAATCTTCCTCTATTTTTGCACACAAATACGTAGGTTAGCATTGGAGACCAAGATAGAAAAGCTCTCAGATTCCCTTGGCAAGCCTAGATTTTTTCAATCTAAAATTATCTCTGGATTTTTGGAAGACACCATGTTTTAAGCATCTTTTTTTTTTTTTTTTAAGAACAAGTTGCACGTGATTCTGTGAAAATTTTACTAAACATTTATGTTGTTGAAAACCTGAGGCCTAACATACCAGGAGCTATGTATAAAGTGGGTCTTCCAAATCCATAGGAAAATAATTGTCTCTGAGAGCTAGCAGGCTGGGGCATCATGGGCTGGGTGTTTCCTCTCTCCTTTTCCCTCCAGTGACTTTGTCCTTAGTGAAAAATGACAACTTTCTTACATGGACAAGAATGTTGGTTTGAATAAGGAATTGATTTGTTTTGGAGCTATTGAAACCAGGTTGCCATGTTCTCTTAGTATAAGTTCACAGAGAACCTGAGTGTGTCAGGGGTTGTGTTTCAAACAACTTTTAACTGAGCTCTTGAGGGTCGCCTAATTGATAGATGCAGTGGCCATTGCAAATGTCCTTTGACTTAAAGTGTAGATATTTGCTGTGGTGAGCTATTCTTTCTTACCTGCATGAATCTCCTTAGTTGGCCTTCTTTGTTTTTTATTTTAAAATTAATTGTCCAGCTAATTTCTTTCTATTTTTAGTAGAGACGGGGTCTCACTCTTGCTCAGGCTGGTCTCGAACTCCTGAGGTCAAATGATCCTCCCACCTCAGCCTTCCAGAATGCTAGGATTACAGGCGTGAGCCACAGTGTCCAGCCCTTACTTGGTCTTCTTGACTTGGAACTATTGTGGTCACTTTATTAAATGACTGTACTTTTAGTAAGAGACTTTACTTTTTCGTTTGTCATTGCCATTCCTCCTACATCTGCCTGAGGGGATTTTCTAAACCCTAGCTTCATGCCTCTTACCCTCTCCCCCAAAACATGCTCGCTCCTTCTCACTCTAGTATGTGAGTCCTGGGTAGAGAACCACCTCAATCCCTCACTCCTGCCTTCATTTAGTGACCTCCAATTCAGACTTCTGCAAATCATTTCTTTATCTCCCTCTGACTGACCCCTGGACATGTTCCTGAGGCCATACTTTCTCCCGGTGATGAAACCCTTCATCGCTTCTCAAGGTGGTCTGTCATGACTTTTAAGGTTCTTACCAGCTGATACGTCTCATCTTTTTTCTTGATTTGGATTATATTCGCCATTTGCTTTCCATCCTACGTGTTGATTTAGACTTTGTACCTTTTTTGTTGTTGTTGTTAAGGGACTTCAGACTTAATCTGGTCCTACTCTCGATGAGAAAGAGGAGACCCAGTGAATTTAGTCATGAATTGAGCTCACATTTGTGGTGTCCTTACAGTACAGGCCAGAATACAGAATTTCTGAATGGCACCGCCTGGGAAGAAAGCCAAATAAGCACCATTTAAGCCATTGCCATAAAGTATCATAAGTGCCTAGGAGGGGAGACACCAAAGGAGCTCTGCCAGCTTTCAGGGATCTTGCCTGTCTTATTAACTGCTTTGGGCTCCAGGGTCTGGAACGCAGTGTTCCAGAAATGATTTAAGTATTTGTTGAATGAATGAATGATCATCTGAAAATGAAATCAGAATAAATGGTACACAAATCAGCTATCTATAGAAAAGATATAAGCCAAGAGATGTTTTGTAAATGTAATATGAAGAATTTTAGGGAAAACTTTAAATTCAACCAAATTGACCCAGCTGTAACCCCAGGAAGGCATGATTGGAATGTGTTTGTAGCCAGAAAACTGGAATTTAAGTTTGTATCCTCAGAGCAAAGACTAGTATTTCTAGGAGAGGATCAGGCTGGTGTCTGTGGAAATGGGGTGGTAGGTCCAAGAGAGGAATTTGGTGGCACCGTCTGGGGGCCGTGACCAGGGGAGCTGTGTGCAGTCCTCCACAAGGCTCATGTACCACCAAGCCGATGGGTATGTCCCTATTGACACCTCTCGCTGTGAGGGTCTTTCCCTTTCTCAGCTTTCCTCATCCTACTACGCTCTGATTAGAACATGGCTTTCCATGGAGATTTTTTGCCAAGGAGAGAATGTGAGTGGTTGAGAGCTCACATCTAGACTGCTTGGATGAGATCCTGGTCTTGGGATGCTGGCTAATATTTCGGTTTTTCCATACGTAGAATGGGGATAAGAGTAGCACGTTTCTCTTAGTGTTGCAGTGAGGGCTCTGAGCACGCCACCTGGGACCTGGTACATGGTGTTAGCTCTCCTTGGTATTTATAAACTAGTAACTGGCCTTCTGGTTAATACATCGGTCATCTTTGAGCTTGGATAGCCTGGATCATTCCCCTTGAACCTGCCTGCTCTTGAGTGAACTGACAAAGCTGATAACCGGAGGGTGGGAAATTATGACAGATAAGCTTTTCCCAAACTGCTCATCCAGGGAATCGACTGTGTAGTTCTCAGGGAAGACTTCCTGATTGGTCAACTAAAAAAAAAAAAAAAAATTATATATATATATAAAATATTAGCCGGGCATGGTGGTACATGCCTGTAGTCCCAGCAACTTGAGAGGCTGAGGCAGAAGGATCGCTTGAGCCCAGGAGTTTGAGGTTGCTGTGAGCTAGTCTGACGCCACGGCACTGTAGGCCGGGCAACAGAGTGAGACTCTGACTCAAAAAAAAAAAAAAAAAAAAAAAGGTATAAATGAAATAGGTTTATAAGTGCAGAAGAAATTTCTGGAAGGATAGAAAAGGAACAATGGTTGCCTTTGGAATGAGGCTGCAGAAAACCAGGCTGTTAGACTGACTTAGCTTTTTCTTGCATACCATTTTGTATGGTGTGAATTTTCTTCACTGTGTATATAATGTTTTCAATTTAACAATTAATGAATCTTAAATGTGTACATGGCAGTCATGTAGAGGTGAACATAGCATAGTGGTTAAAGAGCAAGGACTATCTAGACTGCTTG